ATACGAAAGTTTTAGTCCTATTAGAACAAATCGCCACGATCACTGAAAAGTTGAATTCCGCTCTTTCCTACCGTTGTGATTATTTCTCTTCGCTTTCCTATTCCAGTACTTGTAGCATCTTGTTTACAGAGGGACCGGACAAGGGTGTGTACACGTGCGAGTATGTGCCAAATGGCAGCGGATTGCACACCATTAACGCGTTCCACAATCGCAATCCGATTCAAGGAAGTCCATTTCCGCTCAGAGCGTTAGATAGGCGTTAGTTGTAATCATTTCTTTATTATGCGTACTTTGTAGAGTTCAACTCAGAAATTTGTCATTATAGATATCCACATTACTTTTTCTACGGGTTACAACTTTCCAATCAGGAAGAGGGTACTGCAGGAGCGTTAATAATACTGGAATAAAAATATGACACTGGCAAAATACGATAATTTTGTTTGAAAAGTTATTAATTCTCAAAATTTTCGCTTCGGTAATACGGAATGATCACCAGCTGAAACTCCAACATTTAGTTCCAAGGAGCAAAGAAAGCTTGAACACAAAACACAACATTTTCATAAAAAAGCAAATATATCTGTCGGGCTTCTGAAAAGCTCTCTAATATAGCAATATAAGTACTTGAAGGCTTAGGGTAACAAAGAGAGTGTGGTAGGAACGTGCTTCGCCAAACAGCATGATTGAAAAGCCATTTAGTTTGAGTACTAGACGTAAAAAGGAAGTGTTTCCATACTTGTGTGCTCCATGGGAAGGGGCGGAGTGAGGAGTTGAACCGCCCACTATGACGAAGCTATTTTGAAACAGAATTGGTCAGATCCACGCTGATCTGAGCAACGACTAAACAGCGGTACATATTCCGTATTGTATTGTAGTAACTATTGTACTTGACTGGGAAGAGTAACACTTGATAGCGCAACTATGATGCTCGGCTGTTTTTGGAATGTTGAGAAGACATCACAAAGTTGACAACATTGGCGATCAGAAAAAGTGTATGAAGAACAGTATTTGTGGGAAATATTTTTTGAAATTCAAGCTGCTGCAAAATTGCTAAGTATCGTCCGTTTCTTTCAAGTGGTTAGCTTAATATTATCATGTTTCTCGTTCAAGAAAATGTTTTTTGTGAAAAACATACAAATTATTCAATCAACGTGCAGTCCATAGCTCGCCGTCTGGGTATGCGTGTCATCGAAATGATGTGGAGACTGCCCAACTTTACAAAATCGCGTAAATAAGCTGTTTCCAGCATATTTTGCTGATTTTCTGCGAAATGTGTTGGAAGCAATTTATACACGTGACCTCTATCACTCTGTCTACAGTTCTCGCTCATTTCGTAGGACGGCGGGTGTCTATGTATGGCCAGCTCATTAGGTTGCAGCTCATTGGGTTGGTTAGGAAGTCTTGCGACCCTTTGAACAAACTTCTTCAGGAAGAAATCAAGACTCAAAATGTTTTGGCATCTGATTATGTGGTCTGTCCTTTGGTTTAGATAGGTATCCTACAATATTCTGCGTTCGCTAAGCAATGAATACCGAAGATGCGCTTTACGGTAAACTTCCTGAGGACATAAGGAACAGAATGTACTGTTGTTGTGTTACTTCTGTTACTTGTAACCGAGAAGTTTCCTTGTCGTTTGCTTTCGCGAAGTTAGCTCTCCTACGACTCAGTTTTGAAAGTATCAGTGAAGCCAAATTTTAACTAGTTGGTAGCCTAAATGTATTGACTTTCGAGACGAAAGGTTTCACATCTGTTTTGTACCGAAGGAAAAAAGTACTCATGCGTCGTGACAAGCATCAACATTCAAAACCATTCGCTATATGATTTAAGCCCTTTTATCCACTAAATATAACAGCAACCCCGATTTCCCTAATCCAGCGGAACACATGTTCCATCATAACCCTCCGCACGTTCTGACTTGTTCGCACATTAACGTTAATATGTTGAATTCACACAATTTGTACATGCTATGCTATGTTATGTTAAGAATATGCACGACTTCTTCGATTTAGATAGCTTTTCTGTGTGGGGTCGTGGTATCAATAGCGAAGGGATCAGGGTTGGTGAAACGGTGCCTGTTCACGTCGAGGTTAAAGGTCAATCAGCTGAAGTTGCGGACGACTTGTGTGTCCGAGTTGTGTCAGGTACCAGCCAATGTATTTTTCTGTATTCTCACATTTTTCTTTGAGGACGTATCTGCCTTGGCTAACGAGGCTTTACTTTGATTTTTCATTTGCTAATTATTCGTTTTCCAGACGAAAACATCGAGGTACCAGTGAAGCAACAAACGAAAGGGTCGCGATCAACTTTCACTTACAAACCAACTAGGACTGGAGGGCACACTGTGCATGTAACCAGCAGAGGTGAACCTGTTGGACAAAGTCCCTATAAGGTTGGAGGCATCCATCAACTGCTTTTGTTGGCTCTTTGGAATACAAAGATTTAGATTGACATTCTACCGGCAACAAAGTCGCGAGTTCGTGCTTTTGGACCAGGGCTGGAAGGAGGTATCGCCGATCAGCAGAGCATTTTTGGTGTGGAAACCAATGGTGATGCGGACAGATTGGGTATGATCGCATGAGCCTATCGTTCCAGATTCAGCGGACTAAATTCCAACATTGCAGCGTTTTCGATTGAAGGCCCGAGTAAGACAGATATTTTTTGTCAAGATCATGGAAAAGGAGCCGCTCTCGTCTCCTACACGGTAAGGCTTCCCAGCGTTTCTGAATGAAAGAAATTCCCAACGAGTCATGCAGTGCTATGGCCCGTTTCAAATTTGGCGAATCCAGCGATTCGTTACTGGTGACTCTGCGGAATCTACGAGCGGATCACTGGATTCGCCAAGTCTGACCGGCCTTGGCGAGAATTCCGGACGTTCCACTCCTCTGTGACCCGCACCGCCATCTCGCAGGCTGCGCGGCGCATGTTGATACTTTAAATTTTCTTCTTCTTTCCTAGCGTTAGTCCCGCGCAGTCGCAGGGTCCGCTGTCTTTGTCAGTCGTCGCCACTTTGCTCTGTCCAGGGCATCTTCTGCTGTGGCCGTGACCTTCACTTAGGTCCTTCTTGATCACGTCTTCCACCTCTTCTTTGGGGCTCCTCGCGGTCGCTTGCCTTGCACTTCGAAGTCCATCGCTGTTCTTATCGGATGGTCCTGTGGCCTCCTTAGCACATGCCCATACCATCGCAGACGCTGTTCCCGTACCTTCAGCTGGACAGGGGCAGTCTGCATGACCGCTCTGACATCCTCGTTTCTGACCCTGTCCAGTCGCGTCCAGCCGCAGGCCCATCTCAGCATCCTCATCTCAGCGGAGTGAAGCTGCCTTTCGTGATTCTTGTTCAGGGGCCAGCACTCGCTGCCGTAGAGCATCGCAGGCCTTACCACTGTCCGGTACACCTTCCTTTGAGTGCTCTGAAGCACCTTCGATCGCGGAGGATCCCAGTGGCAGGGTGAATAACGGTCGAGGAATTCCTCGACCATCGCTCTGCTGTGCGAGAGTAGTGCCGAGAGTGAATGTACGCGCGGAGAGCACAGACGGCTCGCGCATGGCGAGAGTGAATATCCGCGCGCGAGAACGTAAAGGATCAGGCGAAAATCCTCGACGTGCCGTTGAGGAATCCTCAAGCATATTCACCCTGCCGCCGTTGATCCGTGCCTTAGTGCCTGATCCACACTACTGTCAGCTGCCAGATCGCTCCCAAGGTAGCGGAAGTCCACTCTTTCGATGGTCTCACCGTGGCCGTCCTCTTGACATTCAGCCGAAGCCCACCTTCTACCAGTTTCTGCCATTTTTGCACCTTGCCCTGTAGTTCTTCTCT